ATATACAGGGTGTCCCAGAATTCGCGCATTCGGAATGCACAGCGTGATTATCCGTGCCAAAAGAAACAACTTTTTTCTCTGGCAAAATTACGTCTGAACAATACTTTTTAAATGAGAGTAATTTTAAGTTAACTAATGAGTGCTCTAGGTTACGCATGAATCAGAGACGGCGCGCGAACGGCGTGCGTGGCGCGTGAGCGTGTTGTACACTATTTTATTATTTCGCTAAAGATTTTATAAGAATTATACATGATATCTAAATATCGCTATTTTGAATACAACTTACTTAATAAGAGTTTAAATTGATCTAATTGATATCACCGAAGCAACGATTGAAAGTAAAATAAGTAGATTAGATAACACGTGAATAATTTTGATCCAAGATTATTGTTCTAACATTCTAAAAATGGAACAATAATCTTGGATCAAAATTATTCACGTGTTATCTAATCTACTTATTTTACTTTCTATCGTTACTTCGGTGATATCAATTAGAAAATGTTCTCTTATTAAGTAAGTTGTATTCAAAATAGCGATATTTAGATATCATGTATAATTCTTATAAAATCTTTAGCGAAATAATAAAATAGTGTACAACACGCTCACGCGCCACGCACGCCGTTCGCGCGCCGTCTCTGATTCATGCGTAACCTAGAGCGCTCATTCGTTAACTTAAAATTACTCTCATGTGAAAAGTATTGTTCAGACATAATTTTGCCAGAGAAAAAAGTTGTTTCTTTTGGCACGGATAATCACGCTGTGCATTCCGAATGCGCGAATTCTGGAACACCCTATATATAGGAAAACTTTTAATATTCATTATCGGTGATATGTGAATGAGTAGGGAGACGGTAAAAATAATGGATCGGTTTGATGTCTCTGATCATTTCTTTATATTTGGACAGTAAGCGGTCAAATTTCTTGTTAAGGCTGTCACGATAATTAATAAAAAAAGAATACAATGGTCCTCGTTGTCTAGCAAAAAAAGAGTTACAGACAGACATCAAAATGCAGTGATATATAGAACGAGAGATTTTATAAATATGGGTATGTGTCGATTTTTGATATACGAATATGTGTCACTAAGTTCGATCTATAGTAATTTTTTACTAAAAAGGTATCTACAGTGTTGAAAGGCATTGATGGATTTCTGACTAAAAAGGTTGTTATTAGAGCTAAACCGAAAGGTCGACAAATGCGGAGGAATAATGTTAAATCTAATGCATTTCCGTAAGAACTCCGTCTTCAATCTACTTTTAATAATGATTTTCCTGTATTTGATCCATGACTTAACCAATAGGACAGCATTATGTCTAAAAACGAATCTAATGTACTGAAAAAAGGAATGGCAATGCCTGCGTATAATAAATTTAAATTTAAAATAAAGTGTAAGGCTCTACAGATAACAATCTAATAAGAATGAAAATTGGCAATACGAGCCAAGCGCAGTTATTCGGGCGCACACAGGTTTATCTTAAAAAAACATATCAATGCAAAACATACATATTGATGTAACTAAATTAAATATATTTCTATAAATTAAATTTAGATCTAAATTAAATTTATTATTTATTGGTTTTAATATATACTTTGAAAATTAGCAGCGCCAAGTTTTTTTAATCAAAAATTATTTTTATTTGTATTAATTTTTAAGTTTTGTATAAATTTTTATTTTTTTTATATTAATTTCTTAGTTTTAATTTTTCTATCAATTTTTTATTTTGTTTTTTGTGTTTTGTATTATTGGATATAGTTTTTCTTTTAATATTAAAAATAAATAAATTTTATATATATAGCATAAATTTTTATTTAATTAGCGCAACTTTTTAATATTATTATTTTGTAAGAAATTAAAACAGCTATTTTGTACAACTGTTTTCGGTTAAAATATTTATAAGTTTTTATTTTCAATAATTTAAAATAACACTATTTTATAAATATATATAAATACAGTTTTTCACAAGTGGCGCGTGTACTTGGCGCCTTTTTTTTATCTTTTTTAAAAATATTAGAGACCAGGACATGCTATCCTATACTATTGGTTAGTAAGATTTGAATATATTTCCCAAAAAACCTTCATGTGGTTGTTGTCTCAATGGACTATGTTATTTTGTAAAACTGTACGTATTATATGTTATCTTGCACACGTAAAAGCGCATATGCACTAAAGATTCTTTTTATCATAAATAAATACTATTTGGATATAATGTATAAAAAGAAATGTAAAGTAATTACCTGATTGAATTATCCGGAAATGCTATTCAGAAGAAAAGTGTATGATCATATTTCTTTATATTAGCAAATTTGCTGTAATACTTAAATTAGATTAATAATTTTGAACCCTATCTATGTTTATTAAAACTAAAACAATATATTCTATAAATGTATTCTATGTATATACAATTCTTGCCATTTTTCAAAGAATTAAGTTATTTCATAAAGAACTGCATGTATTACAGGACTAATCCTGCACACATAAAAGAATACACGAGTTATTTTGCATAAGAGCATATGCACTGATTATTTATTTATTATAAATAAATCATTAGTGCATATGTTTTTTACAAAATAACTCGTGTATGCTCTTATGTGTGCAGGATTCTTCATGTAATACATGCAGTTTTATAAAACAATTTAATCCATTGAGAAAAAACAAGAACCTTATGTAGAATATATTTATAGAATATATGTAACAGGCCGCTTTCGCGAGGTCGGATAGTTCGGTCGTGATCAGGGCTCGTGAAAGGGTGAGACACAACGGTAGACATCGGATGTAATTTAGTCTGTTTATTTGCCTCCTTCGGCAATGGTCAATGTACAGAAGTGTTAACGAGAGTTTATGTCCCGCGAAGCGGGCGCGCGACGAATGACGAGGCGCGTTAAGGTGCATGTCCACCTGCGAGTAAAACTCTCTAGAGTAGCTCTCGAGAGTGATTCTGACACTGTCCATTTGAGAGTAATTTTTCCGACATTGTACTCTCGCGAGCATCTCGCGAGAATCGGGAGAGTATTCTTTCGTAGAATTCTCTCAAAACCGTGTCCACTTACGTATTTTTTCTTAGTCGATTTCTGAGAGTGGTGACATCATGATGTCGCGTAAACGAAAACTTGCAGCTGCTGTAGTAGCAAAGATTATATTAAAAAGAAGAAGGGTATTAAATATAACAAAAACCTGCTGGGTCAAACAATGGATTAACCGCAGGTGTATATTCGGTGTCGCATCTGCTCTAATTAGAGAGCTTAAAATTGAAGATTCCCAACAATTCAGAAGTTTCTGCAGACTTACAAGTTGTGAAATGGAATATATCATAGAATCTATTGGACCGGCTATTTACAAAAAAAGTACTGTACTCAGGAAAGCCATATCCGTACATGATCGGGTGATGGTAACGCTGAGATTTCTGGCATCTGGTAAGTAATTAATTTTTCACAAAACAGTATTTCTATAACATAAGTAAAACTTCTAAATTTATAAAATATAAGATATTTAATTTATAAGATATTTAATTAAA